GGACACGTTGGCCTGGGCCTGCCGCGGCTGAAACACCCGCTGCCACTCCTGATCAATCTAATACACGACACGTCTCCTTGCGATCGTATATTCTCGTGCGAGAACTTGTGAGAGAGAAAAGCTAGGATTCGCGAAGAGGATAGGTAATTCGGAACGAGTATCAATTTCGATAAAGTAGAAGATGATAATGATAACGATAATGATTGTAATTATAATGGTGATGATAATAATGATAATGATGATGACGCTGATAATAATTACAGAGATGGCAACGATGGTGAAGATTATCAAAATCATCATCGTCATCCTCATCGCCACTATCATTACCACTATCAAGACGATGATGACGATAATGACGAGACAGTGAATATGATGATCGAGATTGCCACTGATGCGTGAAAACTGTAGAAAGAAAGAAAAAGAAAGAAAGGGAAAGGAGTGAAGAAGGAAAAAAAATTGAGAAGAGAGAGATGAGAAGGAAAAAGAGAAGGGTGGAAGAGAGTACCATTATGAAAGGATAGTGAATATGATTTATACGATAATTCATAATGGTGATCGTTATACTCATCAATGATGATGGAAGATGTACGACCCATTGGCTTCGTGATTGCATCATTGAAATGCCTCGAAAGCTGCAGTAATCTCTTAAGCATACATTTGTCAATATTGTATATTAATAATTTTGTCGTTAATTTATACCAATGGATTATGAAAGGATGATAATGGATGTATAATTGATTAACGATGTCTTAGATAGTTAACATTGCAGATTATACATTGAGTAATGAATCACTAGATGACAGCTGTATTTAAAAAGTTTGTAGCATACACAATGTTTGGAATATATACAATTTAAGTCTCGTTTAAAATTTTTCTCATTAGAATTATATAGATTTTTATTATATTTTCTTAATCTCAAAATTTATTCCAAGTTTGTTTTAAATCTTATTATTTGCTATACTTAACGTTGCAATACGAATTTAGCGTAACTAAATAAGACAAAAATATAATAAAATATAAAATAAAAATAATTAACATTATACACCAAAAACAATGCCTAAGTAAATATAATTATCTATCTTATTCTTCGCACGAATAAAAACAATTGTATATTTTTAAAAATTCAGTAGTATAAATAATAAAAAATATGTTACACATATTTGTATTATTAAAAAATGCTTAAATAATAATAAATTTTGTGAACAATAGCATGAGATATAATGGATTTGATGGACGATATGGAATCGATGTGGGAAACTGTATCAACATGATTTGTCACAGGTTGAAAACAGGATTTTCTCGCCTAATCGCAAAGGACTACGAAGGCGAATAATACATCGCACAAATAATTTTCATACAGTATCTATCGATATAACTACCGATTACTAGATGAGGGTTTTAAAGGCAGAGGCAAAGAAATAGAAACAAATAGACAGAACTATCATGCATCTGCCTAAACATTAATGACGACGCAATTATAATAATTGACGCTCACCGCATTTCAAACGTTTTTATGCATTTATGAATACATTTTCAAAATATTCTTAGCATAAAAATAGATATAATCAAATGCCTCGGCAAATGAAACTTAAATCATTTTAAATCATTTAAGCTTTTTTTTTACACACACCCTTATTACTTACTTCCTGACGCATATATAATTCATCTACGTTTTAATTCTACATATAAAATAATTCGCTTCATATAACTCTTACAGAGAGAAAATAAAAAATTTAATATATCTCTCAGGAGAGAGAGAGAGAGAGAGAGAGAGAGAGAGAGAGAGAGAGAGAGAGAGAGAGAGAGAGAGAGAG